AATGTGTGCACAGAAGGAGCACTACCGTAACACTTTTCCACCTGAAGTCAGACGCCATGTTTACAGATGGTGTATTGTCATTGGCTCTGGAGTCTACCGGTCACAAGACGAGGGGGCGCGTCAGAGCTGCAAAAAGCCGACCGGCACTAGCGGTACGCATGCCATATGTAGGAATTTCAAAATAAAGCCGGAATTATTTCTGTGGTTATATTTATATTTCAACCCTTAAAATATCTTCAAGACATTTTTCCATCCTTCTGATTCGGAATTCTTTAAAATCAGTGTTTGGTAGATTATTTCTCTGTTGTAGCAATGCTTCTTGGCAATAAATTGTATACCATTGAAAAGCCTGTTTATTTACCTTTTAAATGGTGCCCCATTTGTAAGGATCATGCATTTCTGGGATGAGCAGCACAGCTGAGAATGTGGGTTGCGCCCATGAAAAATTTGCCAAATTGTGTGACCACACAACCACACTCATTCTGACTAAAAGTTTGTCCCAGACCAAGCTTTTAACAAAAAAAGTCGCCATGAGGGTTCAGAAAGTCACCAGATTTAGCGAGAAAGTCGTCTAGTTGGCAACACTGGCACCGACTAAATACTATGTCCCCAGAGCAACATAGGATGTAATATATCACATATAAAACCAAACAAAAATCCATCTTCATAAAAACAAGTTGTACAAATAATAATATATAAACAAGCATGTTAAAGCTACTGCAGATGTAAAAACAAGAGCAGTTCACTTACCAGAGCTGCTGTTCACTATTTAAAGACAAAGTCCATCCTCCTTTCTTTGTTAACATAGAGTTTAATCTCACGGTTGTTCAGTACATCCGTGCATTTTAGTTCCAGTAAGAAGTCCTTCTCCATTCATGGACGCCAGTGAAGACAGTCGAGCCTCCCCAGTTGTATTTCTTGAATACGTTTTAATGCGTTTGAGGGCTGAAAATGTCCGCTCGACAGAGGCAGCAGATATTGGGATTGTCACCGCCCAACATATCATGCTAGCCCACTGACCAATCACGTACTTGTAGGCCAGCTAGAAGGCTCTGACATGTCAAAGAATACGCCCAACATGTCAAACTAAAGATCTGATTGGTTGAACACTATGACAATCAACAATATCGTCCCCATTCACTTGAACTGCAAATGGATTCACTTGTGAGTCTGCAGGCCTCAGGCCTCTCTTCTTACTTAGAGACACAAAGGTGAAATCTGATTGGATAAAAGCTCTACTTAAAACAAGCTGCACTGGAAGCAGAGCAACTGAGGAAGACAGTAGCTGTGCAATGAGAAAATAAGATAATGGGAAAAATATTTTTAGAAATTATAATATATGTAGTGTATTTATGAAAAATTGTTAAATTATAAAATAGCTATAACTTTGTGATTCTGTCTAGGCCAGCAGAGAAGGCCTTGCAGGCCCTGACGGCCCACCACTGTTGCTTATGCACGTCTGATCATAACTTTCATAAGAATGAATGGGGTGCCACCTCCAACGCTGTATCAGTTCTCTTTATACATGAGCATAACCCCCCAAGCACCTTGGATAAAAGTGCGGCAACATGTGACAGGCCTCTGAGAAAAATTTGTTCACAGTGTGTTCATTTGGTGCTCTGATGGAAATTGACTTCATCAGACAGTTAAGCCAATTGATGTTCAATGAAGTCATCTTAGATACCCTTGGCTGATATCCTGTCCATCAATATTACAAACATAAGCGGAGACGAGGGCTTGTTGGAGTCCAGTTTTCACATTGAACATGCCTGACTCTGTGTTGAGAATGTTCATTCAGGTCTGTCTCTCGATTGTACATTGACTAACCTTTCGCACCACAACAAGCTTCTCCCACAGAATGGAAAACATCCAAAGCTTAATCTAATTAGTTTAGTTACTGATCTACAAAACACATGTAGGTGGTTTTGTTGAATTCCCATGACCCTCTGATTACCTGTGTGAGGATAACAAAATGGCCCACTGACTCCTGAGTTTGAGATTTTAAAATCTATAGTCTGCATTCTGGGACTGGGTGAATACTGATTGTTAAAGGCCTGTTTGGGGCGTTGTTGTTTGGAGTTTGATTGCAGATCGAAGTAACAATAAACAGAATAGTCGATTATCAAATTAGCCAGTAGTGACTTTGTGACTTCCCTACCCTCCCTGTGGCTCTGATCTGGGTTGCCCTTTGGTTCCTACTGAAGATGTAAATCTTAAAATACAGCTCAAATATATATAATCATCATCATCATCGTCATAATACTACAGTTTCACAAATGTCACTCAAACAGGGGGAAATAGTGCATTTGATGGGGACTATTTTCAGTTGTGCATTAGTGCACATGTGGTGGGATTGCAGATTTGCTGACAATATGAAACATCACCAGAATGATGATCATTCAAGTACAAAAGTATTTAGGCCAGATGCCAAAGTTGATACTTTTGTGAAAGTATTTTGTTGAGGTCAGGGAGGAGCTTCCATTGTGTTCAGAGGCAGGAAACACAGTAGATGATAAGAGCCCATTATTAGATTACATTTGTCTACGGTAACTTTGCTGCTACAATCCTGAGCATAACATTATTAAATCATTATTTCTCCTCAGTGAGCATGGCCATGTTACCGTGGCACTGTTAGAAAGCAGTGTGTGAAGGCCAGCAGAGTTCATGGGGTTGTGGAGCTCAGAGATCAGCCTAGCTGACAGAAACTGTAGAGCTGTTTCCTCTCCGGCGGACTCCACCCAATGGCACTGTGCCCTGTGCAGCTGCAAATCTCACTGACAGTACAACAGTGTGTTCATCTCAACCTCCTACCAAGAAGAAAAGAGGGTTTGTTACCATGCAACATACCTGAGCTTCATCATTCTGTATGTCTAAAATTGAGTCTTAGTCTGAAAAAAATGTTTTTTGTGTTAAAAATAATTTTAGAAACTGGTGTCAATTTTTTGATCACACCAATTTCAATATTTGCTTTATCATCTATAGTTCAATGAAAGACACAATTTTCACATAAAACTTTCTGCTTTATTTGTACTTTTACTTTGTGTACATTTTGCTGCTGTACTTTTGTACTTGGACTGAAGTAGAATTCCGAATGCTTGACCTTTAATTGCAACAGAGTATATTTACTTTGCTAATTTTAGCCTACTTAAATAAAAAATCTAAATATTTCTTTCTCTACTTGAAACAGCAAAAAAACCTCTTTTACTTACTTGGTAAAGATCACACAAAATCTTACACTGAGAAAAATTAATGAATATAAATGTGCATTTCAATTCGATACAAAATAATTCTATTCATGACTATCTCAAAAGGATTTATAGTAATTGTATCAATTTTACAAGGTTCAATCAGTTGATGATCCTGTTATAAGCACTTTAGGAAATTGTAAACACAGTTTTTAGAAGTCACAGACACATCATATTAGTGTCCTGTGTCAAAGAATGTGTTCAAGAGGCTTTCACACAGTCTCTTTCTCCCACAGTGGTCCATTAAATACAGTAAAGTCCCTCCCACACTACAAATGGATTGGCTTTTTGCTGTTCCCCTTCAACTCTTGTGATTGGATACCATCCACACCTCAGTTTAATGATTGGACAATGACTCAGACATCATTGTTTTCAGTTCTAGGATTCACATTTCAATGACAATGAGAAAAACTACAGCATGAGGGAATGGAGCATTGTTGGGAGGGAATTATCCGTGTTGCTGTGTCACTTAAACTTCCCCAAACATAACAAATATGTAACAGTTTGTGTAAAAGAACTGTAATTTACTAAAAAGTGTAAATCCAATCCAATTATCTTACTAAATGATATGCTGCTTAATATGATTAATACCTTGTATAGCTTAAACCAAGTAGGAACAAGTTCATATCCATAATCCAGGCTTTTATCTGGACCACTGGAATACTTAAAGGAAGCTGTCAGTCACTTGGAGCTGGGTTTTTGGATTTTGGATGTTGATAACCGTTGACAAGCATTTGAGATGTTAGGGCTTGGGTTACAGATGTCAGAGATGCCAGAAAAAACAGTACACCAGCTACATCATGGTCCAATCCTTTTCGTTGTCTGTCATCTGTTTAAAGTTTTCCTTTATAATGTATTCCATGTTTATAAGAATGTGTACCTTAGACATTCAATTGGGCCATCCGACCATTTTATTGACAGATTACAACCAAAAAAGCTCAAAATGTGTGCTAATCAAAGATCCAATGTGTACACGGTACATTTACCATTATTAGGTTTCCGTTTTAAAATAACTGAAAATGTATTCAATATAAAACTAATTCAGTGAGAAAAGCAACATTTGGTTAAATATATTTTAAACTATTACATGTTACTGTTGTTTATTCTCAAACCTACCTATTTCTATTAAAAATTTGTATTGCTATAATTCCATGGCTCCATCCTTGTTTTAAATCTTGGTACTGCAGAATAATTATAGAAAAAAGCCATTAGTTATTATTTTACACTTTGTGTTATTAATTACTTGTATCCAACGAATATGGATATTTTATAATGTTCTTTCAAAATCAGCAAATAAATAAATAAAGCAGTGGTTTTCATGAGGTATTCAATTATTTGTTTAATATTGTCACTGATAGATCTACATTGTAAAAAGCCACACTGATCTAATATTTGGCAGTATTTTTTAGAATATATTTGCAAGACATTAAGCGAATATTTTCCCATCATTACATTGCAGTACAATTCATCACTTCAATGTTGTTGGATCCCTTTCCACATGAATCTTGTTTCAACAAAAGTGAGATTAGACCTTCCTGTTAACATTTCAGTAAATGTTAACGGTTCAATTATATTATATTATATGTATCATATTTAAATTGTTTATTGTTTTAATTGAAGAATCTGAACTCTCTGCCCGGTTCCCAAAACAACAAAATATCGATGAGTGCACCTTAGCGGTAGCTATCTCTGCTTTTATTTTGAAAACTCAAGCTTCCGATGTCATTTTAGCTAGCTAGGCTAGCCGGTCGCTTGACGTAATAGGGATGTCTCATGGCAGACTAGCAGCCAGTCCTGAAAGTAAAAGCAGTCGCGAAACTCCTCGGACCTCCTGCTACTGTGTGACTACATTCTTCCTTCGCCACTTCGTTAACGTGAGACAACAACCAGTTCACAGACAGGGTGGAAAGTGTATTTTAAGCGAAGAGCAACTTCTTTTGCGTCAACTTAACTGAGTCCAGCAGCCGTTCAGCCACGACCACACCCTCCTTGCTTCCTCATAGTACTGTAGCGGGAGCGCGCAGCACGACTTTGAATCTCTGGGAATAACGGCCACTTCTTCCAACTACGTCTTCAGGTTGTTGACAGTGGAACCTCCCGATACAAGTGAGTTAAATGTTCGAAGACCAGAGACTGGTGCGGATATGAGAAGCAAAGCCCCTCGGAAGATATGCGGGGCTATACAATATCTGGTCCCGAGTTAAGACGCGGAGGAAGAGGAGGAGGTGGAGGGCGGACAGACGGACGATGCATATGGAGTCGAAGCGACCGGAGCAACTGCTAGCTTCTAACCCAGGGCTCTGTCTGAAAAAGAAAAGGTTGAAAGTGGATTGACGGCTCTGTGTTGGAAAGTCGTCCTTTCGGTGGATTTTACTTGGGAGGACTCATGAAATGATGGTGCTGGAGGGAAACACAAATCTTCCCGCTGTCCAGAAGAGCTGCCCGGGTGGAGCCCTGTTTGTAACCGGCATGAGTACGCCAGGCCGGTCAAACTCATCGGGAACAAGTCGGACAAGGTCTCGGTGCTGTTTCAGGCTACTTGCTCTGCTGCGAGTGGACACAAAATGATATTCTGTCGATTATAGTGAAAAGACTGAAAAGCCATTTAAGTTACTAAATGTTAAGCTGATGTTGTTCTTGGCTGTAGTCATAAAAAGACCCCAAGAAAGACATCTAACGTTTCACAAATAGCACAGAGTCAGTTCAGCAGATGTCATTCCAATCGGGACGTGTTCTTCTTTCAAACGTTAACGAGCTGTTGACATTTTTTTTTCATTTTAAAGATTGTCAGTCTGCACTTTGCCCTTCAGAAGGCACCTTGGTGGCACTGCAGTTTGTGTGTTATTTCTTTTTTAATTCAACAACCTGTGAATTCTTCTGTTCCATGAAAACCTGGGACGACAATGAGCATATTGACTTTTGGATTATGTTGTTTAGGGCATTTAAATGAGTGAAGATGAAATCATATAGCTCATTACACTGATTACTCTGAAGTTGTGGAGATTTTGGTGGACTGTGTTACATAGTATATTACTAATAACCAAGGCCGATCATAGTTAGACTTTTATTATAGTATACTTTAGAGACGCAACAGTTCATACTGGTGAATGTTATTCATACAGAAGTAAATGCAGTCATTGAGTTTAGCTCTTTCTACATGTTTACATTGAGACTTCATGTTCTGTGTGTACAGTTGGTGACTTTTACTCTGAAGGAAATTAAGGAAGACTGTTTGGCCAGTTATTTAAATGAGTGTGTAGAAAGCAGGGAGGTGAGGCTGATCTTGGAAATGTCTTAAACAGTGAGATGCAGTGTGCAGCAACAGAAAACTATAAATAACCGAACCCCTCCAGAAGAGCAGTTTGACCCCCGCCCCAGCCCCCCTCCTTATTATGGCTAGTGGTGGCTCTGGCAAATCGGCTAGCGAGGGATCCCCCAGCACACCCAGTGTCAGCTTGCAGCAGAGGAAGCGTCTCTCCTCCATCTGTGACACATGTAAGGGCAAAATGCAGTTGGTAGCCGACCTCCTTCTGCTGTCCAGCGAGACCAGGCCGGTCATGACCTCTGAGGGCGTGGCAGTGGCAGATACCTTCGACCAGTGCCGCGACACAGTCATCGCCAGGACTAAAGAGCTCTCCATCCTCACCCACGACATCCAGAGCCAGCTCAACATGGGCCGCTTCACAGAGGTGGGGGACCGTCTGTTGGAGGTGGCCGACCTGGTGGTGTCTTTGACCGAGTGCTCGGCCCACGCCGCTTACCTGGCAGCCGTGGAGACCCCCGGCTCTCAGCCCTGCCTGCCGGGCCTGGTGGACCGCTACAAGGTGACCCGCTGCCGGCACGAAGTGGAGCAGAGCTGCGGCATCCTTCGAGTCACACCCCTGCCAGACCTCACCCCCCAGCTCCTCCTCGAGCTCTCTCAGAACATCTCCACCAACCTCAAGAATCTGACGGACATCTCCTCAGTAGCCAGCGAGAGGTCCAGGGACCGCTTTGCCAAAGAGCAGTTCAAACTGAGTGTCAAGAGCATGAGCACCAGCGGCACAGCCTTCCTGGCGTGTGTCAAAGAGGTGAAAACCCAACCCAGTGAGCTGACGAGGAGCCGCTGTGTTCTCTTTAGTGCGGCGCTGGTCCAGGCTGTCAGTGCCCTGGTCGGGTTTGCCACAGAGCCTCAATTCCTGGGAAGAGCTGCGAGCATCTCCACAGAAGGGAAGGGGGTACAGACTGCAGTGTTAGGGGGGGCCATGAGTGTGGTTTCAGCCTGTGTCCTCCTCACTCAGGGCCTCAGAGATGTCGCACAGCACCCCGAGAGCAGCTCCAAAATGGCAGACTACCGCGAGCGGCTGCGTAACTCAGCGTGTGCAGTGTCCGACGGCTGCACTCTGCTCACTCAGGCACTCAGAGAGCGCTCCTCTCCGAGGACTCTGCCGCCAGTCAACTCTCATTCTGTGAATTAGTTTAGGAAGAGGCGACATGATGTCCCGTCCCCTCGGTCCTTTTCTGACGTACCAAAGAGACTCACTTGGGTTATCCCTGTTCATCAGGTTTGGAGTCCCATCAGAAGAAGGCTGTCTGTGGGTCAGTACATGTGGCTGAAGTGTGTTTGAATGCAGAGGAGCGCTAATACCGCTACAGGGTTCTGTGTCGCGCTGGATGTGGCTCAGACCTTGTTCTTACCGGACCCTTGGAGCGCTCTGGGCCTGACTCGGCTCAGCTGACCACGTTCTCACCGACAGATGGCAGTCTTCAAACCTGAAAAGTTTACCTCAGTTTTCAGCTCCGGTGAAAACACCAGCCTTGATGATGGATGTAGCCTTACTGTGTGAACCTATGGTTGGCTGACCTACTCGATTACATGTGCTTTGTGAGATTGGAAAGAGTGATCTGAGTGTCTCAATGCTTGTTTTTGTTTTCAACTTGTGTGAATTCCTAATTGGTAAAAAGCTGCTGTGAGTGTGTGCCATAGGTTTTACACTATTTACCAGACTTCCCATAGTATTTTAAAGTGTTTTGATCATGCATGTAATGGAGTATTTATTTCAACAATTAAACATGTTGTTTCCGATATGCTGTTGTTGGGTTGTATGTGTCCAGGGTTCCACTCATCTGTCTCTGGGATTTCTGCTTCCACCCTGTTCACCCCACTATCTATCTATATCTATATCTTTATATCTATATATATATATCTGTGTGTGTGTGTGTGTGTGTGTGTGTGTGTGTGTATATATATGTGTGTGTGTGTGTGTGTGTGTGTGTGTGT